AACAAAAGTAAAAAAGGAAAAGAAGTTTGCATACCATTGAAGCCAATTGTATTCAGTGATAGAGGACGGTTACCCAAGGACACAGAGAAGCAAGAAAGCAAGCAAGTAAGGAAGAGGGACAGAGGAAGGGAAGGAAGGGAAAAGGAAAGGAAAAGGAAGGAAGAGGAGGGGAAACAAAAGGAAAAGAGGAAAAAAGGAAGGAAGGAAAGGTCAAGGAGGTAGGGAGGAAGGGAGGAAAGCTGGACCTCAGAAGCACATGAGAAGGAAGACTGTGCCCAGGAGAGTGAGTGATCTTCTAAAGGCATGGGGGCCCCTCATGATTCCTGTAAGTGATTGTGACATAGATCTAGGATTGTAAATGTTGTTGAGTGGGAGGAAAGGCTGGATGGTTGCACACTATTCCTGGTTGTACACAATAGTACTTTCAAACTCCCTGAGGGATCTTTGAAATACAGATTACACTTTAAGAAATCCTAGTTCTGTTTAAATTATCAAGAGTGAATTCTTTAGTTTTAGGTAAAAGCTTGACTGACACATGAGGAAAATTTAGGAGTGAGCTTAAGTGAGTCACTTTTACTTTCACAGTAATTAAAACCCCTTACCCTGTCTTAAAAAGCTTTTGTATCAAATGATAATTGATTGATAGTTACTTATATGTTCTATGACTTCCCTCATAAATAAATTTTTTAAGGCTAGTGGTGTGGGCCAAATCAGAGGCAGCTTTCTTTCCTTTTTTTTTAAATCTCTCTTTTTTTTTCTTTTGCTCAGTTATAGAGCTTGAACTCAGAGCTTGAGCTCTGTCCTTGAGCTTTTCTTCTTAAGACTACCACTCTACCACTTAGAGCCACACCTCCATCAGGTTTCCTGGTGGTTATTTGGAGATAAGAGTCTCATGAACATTCCTGTCTCCATGGACTGACTCTGAACCATGATCCTCAGGTCTCAGCCTCCTGATTAGCTAGAATTATTGGTGTGAGCCATCCGTGCCAGGTGAGAGAGCCCCGAGCCCAAACCTCAGAACTACCATATAGAAAAAAAGAAATTCTTTTCTGTCAGTCTTAGGGTTTGAACTCAGGGCCTGGAGGTTATCCTTGAGCTTTCTGCACTCAATGCTTGTGCCCCTTTGCACTCTGAGCAATAGCTCCATTTTCCAAGAAACTTCTTTTATTAACATTTTTATAACACAAATACAACTGCTTATTTATAGTAAATGATATATGCAGTATTGTGTTACATACATACTTACACTATGTGACATATATCATGTGATATACTGCCTCTATTACAGTTATAGGTATCATTTTTATATTTCTCCATCCAGCTACTAATTTTAGTTTCAGGACATACTAGATTATATTGAGGTTAACAAGCACATTCTGAATCTCGCTCTATCTGAAAATCTTTGTTTCTTGTTCCAATGTGAATGAGAAGAGAGATCTGTCTTCCTTTACTTATGAAATGATCTATTTCCTCAGTTTCCAGTTTAGAACAGGGAAAGAACATTTAGACTTATCTTATGGTTTAGGTTCAAACAAAGAAGCAAGCAGGTCCTCAAGTTCAAATATTCAAGAAAGGGCAATCCTACTGTGCTGTCCAAGATTAAACAGCTAAACGGATTTGGTAAACAACAATACCAGTTCTTTACCACCTCAGGTTGCTATTAACCATCTTAAACAGAAATTAAACATAGTCTAAGGAGTTCTTCAGTTTTTATTTAATGCCAGTCTGCTCTACCAAAAGTCCTTTATTTGCTATCTCTGATTTGTCATTTTTATCTGAAATGCAACATTGAAAGTATATACACAAAAGAAGATCTTGATGTATTACTGGAAAACTGAAAATGGTCCCATTAAAAACTTGTTAAAATTTAATCCTCCTGATGGTCCCAGTAAAACAATTCTATAGTTAGCATTAGGCCCTCAGTTCCTCTAATCTAGTCTCATTCAGATGAAATGACTTCAAAACAAACAAACCAACAAAAACATTTGGAATTAGCTACTCATTCCTTGCTCATTGATTCTTTTGGTCATTTCATTAGGAATTAGCCAATTAAAGGAAGTTCAATTAGTATGATGGAACCATATCTTGAAGTATAATCTTTTCTTAAATTGGTGATTTGGGATAGTAGGTAAGGCAATGTAGCTAGCCAAGTCACAAGCATGAGACTCTCATCTCTTCACACCTAAACAGTCACCCAATTTTGTCCTATTTGCCTCCTAGAAAAAATCTCTCAAAAGAACAGAGCTCTTGAGAGAAGACTTAATGTCAATATCAATTGAGTACTTTGGAATTTCCCCAGGGAAACTTTATATGTAACATTATCTGAGAAAATTTTTGATGGCTATTTTTGACAAAGCTGTATTCAACAGCAATCTGAAAAAAAATCTTTCTTCCTCCTTTCAGGAAACAGCCCTGAATATTTTTGACGAGTAAGTGAAGAGACTGGTATTCAGTTTACATAGGAAGCCCTCTTGAATTTGATAGAGCTGAAAACGAGGAAAAGCACAAAAAAAATCATTCATCAGCAAGTTGACTAAGATAGCATCAGGCCACTACAGTCACAGTACAAGAAGGTGGTGAGTGACTGTAACTTAATGAGGAATGCAGAGTACAGAAAGCTAGACAGAAGGTTCTAAAAAACAATCCTTAAAGATTTTCACATTACCAACCTGTAACAAAAACTTTCCACTGGCTTCTAGCACTATAGTAACCATGAAAAAAACATAGAAGTGATATATTTAACAAGAACCATTTTTTGTTTTGCAATGTTCTTATAATGAGTTTCCACTGGTAGACCTTGAATTCCAGATACTGATTTAATAGGTAGCAAAATGATTTGTTGATGAAAATACTTATTATGAATAAGATGAATTAGTCTATAGAAATGTGCTTTCCCATCCTTACAAATGGCTTGTGACTAAAAGCCTAGTGCTGTATTCATGAAGAACAAAAAGCTCTCTTCATAGCTGCAGCACATAACCTTGTCATGCAAATGAAGGTATCTTTTAAAAGTTAGTCTTGCATTGAAGGTTCTTGTAAACTGGCTATAGTTTATTTTATAAACACACCAGTGGTCAATGTCTGATTAAAATGTGTTGATGTCAGCTTTGTTGGCTTCATCTTGAACCAAACTTTTAGGACTGTTGAATATTATTGTATAGTGTAGGCATACAGATGAAACCTCTGTGCGCTTGCTCCCTGAACCAGACTATAGCTGGTGTATTTAAAACCAATAAAAAGCCACAGAAATGACAACTACAGTGCAGACCTATTAGCAATCTCAATGCACAAATGGACATGATATATAAATTTTGTTTCAAATCTTATCTGCTGGATCCATGGGTTTGAAAAGGACAACGTGAGGGATACTTGTGAGGAGGGAACTGAAGTGGATTTTCACTCTGATAATAAACACACAAAACTGCACAGAAAACGGAATTATACACACAAACACAGGGATTCCAATATAACTGGAGAATGCATAGGAGCAACAGATTACCTAAACAACAATATGTAGATGGTGATAATGTACTGGAGTACTGGTACTGGGAGATATTATAATCAAGGATCTACTGAACATTAAAGCATTTTTAGAGGAGAGAGTATGAGAGAAAGGGTATAAACATTGCTGAGAAATAGTGCCTTTCAAAAACTATGAATTATTTTGTTGTTATTTTATTTGGGGCTTGAACCCAAAGCCTGAGTGATATCCCCAAGCAAGCTAGTACTCTACCACACGATTCACAACTCATCTTCTGGATTCTTGCAGGTTAAGTTGGAGGGGTGGAGGGGGAGTGTAGTTGTGGAGGTGTGAGGGAAGGGATGGTAGGGGAAAAACAAAGGAGGAGGCAACAGTGCTTGATAAGAAATGTACTCATTACCTTGTTCATGTAACTGTAACCCCTCTGTACAATATTTTCACATTAAAAAATAATAAAAAGAAAAAGAAAAAAGGAAACAAAAGAAGTAAATGAAGAGTCTCATAGACTCTTGCCAGGAAACCATGATCTTCAGACCTCAACCTGAATATCTAGAATTATAGACATGAGCCTCAGGCACCTGGCCATTTAAATTTCTTTATATCATTCTTCTTTAATCTAAACCACCACATACTACTGATTCTCTGTTTTTATATTCACACTATAAATAGCTGAACTAACATTTTACTCATTCATTTATTTTATTTTTTGCTTTGATAATTAGCTTTTGTAATACACCTTCTGAAAATAGAAGTATTAATAGTCTAAAAAGTATACTGAGACACAGCAATTGTGTCTTAATACAGGGCCATTTTGAGTATTTCACAGATCTTATGTGTATTTATGTCTGAATTCCTCCCTACTATCAAACACACAAATGTTCCTAATATGCCACATTCAAAACTTATTAATAAAACATCAATATGTTGATACAGTTGACTCACTGAAATAATGGTTTGCTTTGGAAACATTTAATTATACAGTTACTAAATTTAGTTCTATGTTTTTTCTTTCTATGTTTAAAAAAATATAATTAATTAATTTTGCTGGTCCTGGGGTTTGAACTCTGGGCCTGGGTACTGTCTTAAGCCTCTTTGTGGTCAAGGCTAGTGCTCTACCACTTGAGCCACAGCACTACTTATGGCTTTTTCAGAGTAGTTTACTGGAGATGAGGAGTCTCATGGACTTTCCTACCCAGTCTGGCTTCAGATCGCAAGCCTCAGACCTCAGGCTCCTGAGTAGCTAGGGTTATAGGCATGAGCCATAGGTTCCTGCCTTTCCTTTGTATTTTATGACAAGTACTTTTTTGAGAGTAAGGATTGTGGATAAGGGTGTCTCAAAGTTTTCAGAATCCTGAGAGCTCCTATCCTAGCACATTGGTTACCTAGATCATAATAAATAAAAGCTTTCTAATTATCCATGATCCCATAGCTTAATTCATAATAAGAGGACATAAAATGAGAGGGAAGTTAGTGCTTTCTCAAGGCCAGGACAGCAACTGATAGAATAGCAAGAACTAACCTGAGCATGTGGGCAGCATTGAAGACAACATCAAATTCCGTGCTATCGAGCTCAGCTGCCTTTTTTGCCATCTCTGCTGCTTCCATCAGGCGAGCTTCTTCCAGAAGAAACTGACCTGCAGAGTAAGAAAACAAAAGTCTACTCTCAGAAGATGTTCACCGCTTAAAATGATACAACCAACTATAAAGATACCTATTGGCAAGGTGACAGTGCCATGATCATCATTTATATGCCTGACACTCAAGGATTGTATGTGGCACATGTAACATATTGTTTTTCTCAAAAAAGAATCTGCTTTAAACTATTCAAGCAATAAACAAAATGAGACAAATCAAAGGCATATGACAAATATGAGCTGAGTATATTTTAACTTGTCACGGCTTCAGTTCTCTGAGATTCTTGATACTTTGGCTGGTATAACTCCTCTTTGCCATGAGCTGACCTGGGTGCTGCAGGTCATTTTCCTTCTGAAGACTAGTGGTCAGTTGATCTTATTCAGTACCACAAGCACTTGGAGTATTTAATAAAGTTCATCTGCATCTTCTAGCCGTAAGTATCTTGGGGAGAGATCCCAGACCTGATTACTCTCGAATACCAAACTTACCCCTTTGAGCCTGATTAACAAGAACGTTAGCTTGCCTCTCACCCCCAAGTTCCAGTGGAACTGCACAACTGAAAATATTCTTGAACTTCGTCTTGTTGTGTAGCAGGACCAGAAAAGCTCTTACAGGAAATGGGACTCTGAGATATTTTGCAGACTGTAGGGACAGGTTAAATAAATCATGGTAGGAAGTGAGCCCAAGAAATTGTCTGCCCCAAAAAAAGCAGCACAGCACAGAAGATTCTAAGCTTCCTCTCCTTACGTGGACTAGGGGAATCAACCCAGCATGTTGAGTACACTGGCTGATTCTTTGACTACTGAGCTACATACAGTCCATCCTCAGGACAGTTACAGGAAAATCTGCTACAGTCTGTCTACACCCAGTTGTACCTCACCACTGAGAAATCCTTTTATATTTTGTATATTTTCAGTTGTAAAAATACTGTACAGAGGGGTTACAGTTACATGAGTAAGATAACGAGTACAATTCCTATAGAGCATTGTGACCTCCTCCTTTTCTCTTTAGATTGTATAAATCTTTCACCTTTTATTGAGAAATCTTCAGCTGCAAAGTCATGAGGGTTTAAACCTTCCAACCAAAAACTTGCACTCAAATACAGGATTCCCCAACCAGAAAAGCCAGTAAAATAAAAACACGAGGAAATATGTCTCCACCAGATGTCAACAATGAAATTGAACGAAAATAACATGGATGTAATCTCAACGAGCTAAAAGGATCAGTGAGAAGAGTGAAGGGAAAGATAGAACTTAAAGTACATGCTTTTCAGAAAAAAAAGAACACAAAGTAGAATTAGCTCATTTGTGGCATAATGAAAAATTAGCATCTGCTCATGTGTGCCTTAATAAAATACATCAGACTAAACCTATTCTTCAGTTACTTATACTTATTATGGATTATATTTTAAATTAACTCATACTATTAATTGCTACCTGTCTTCAAATATAATACTTAACTAAGTAAATGTGTTAATAAATATATGCATTATTTATATGATATTTAAACAAAGGACAATGTAGAAAATTATTAATTGGTATTTTTCTTTCCAGGCAGCTATTAACTCTGAAACATAGCTTATAATAATAGCAAGGAAAGTGCAACAACTAATTGAATAACAAAAAAATACTTTTTAAAAATTCATTAATCCAGACTGGAGAGGAAAAAGGAGATATATAAATTCTGGTAAAGAAGGAAAGGATAAAGGAAGGAAAGAGGGAAGAAAGGAAGGGAAAAAAGTAAAGGGAAGAGAGGAAGGAAAGAAAAGAAGGGGATAAAAAAAGGAGGGAGCAGGGAGAGAAGAAGAGAGAGGAGAAAAGACAAGGGGGAGGCAAGGAAAGGGAAGGGGAGGGAAGATAAGACTAAAGAAGACAGAAAGAAAGGGAGCAAGGAGGAGGGATGGAGAAGTAGTAAATATTATTTCCACACAGACAGAGAAAGGAACACAGATCATCTATGTAAGGGTGTGTGTGTGTGTGTGTGTGTGTGTGTGTGTGTGTGTGTGTGTATTTTTTGTCATTGAAAAATTTTTACATATAATTTCCCTAAATCAATCAGGATGAGTATTTCTTGTTAAAATACGATGAAATATTCATTGTTAAGATGATTGCAACTAAACTGAACACCTAAAACAACCTGAACGCGGTGTCACGATGACACAATTTTCTTGAAGGAAAAAAAAAATCATTCATTTAGCAATGGTCCAGAATAAATAATATCTTTCTTTATGAAATAAAAACCAATAAATCGTATTTTAATTAAAGTAACTCCCCTTAGAAAAAGGAAAATCAGAATTATCCCGTTCTACCCAATATTCCCTACATTAGAACATTATTTTGCTCTGGTCTCCATCCCTTTGACTGATATGGTAGCAAGCTTGTTAAAATGGTGGTTAAATTGGATCATTTTTTAGCTGATCCAAGAATCCTTACCCTGGCCTATACATCTTGACAGGATCAGCACTCTCCTTTACCATTCCTCTAACATATTAGAGAAACAAAGATGGCTACTCCAGTTTCCATATGCCATTCCTTCTGCCTGGAATGCTCTTTCCCCAGATATCCTAGTAGCTTACCTCCTCTTGCCTCCTGACTAGTGTGTGGATTTAATAAATACATTCAAGTGACAGGACTACATTAATTAATGATATCCTCTCTATGATCATCTCTAGAAGTAGCATAGACCACAAGGCATTTTCTATTCATTCCTCACACCTTGAAGTGATTTTAGCCTTGAACCCTGTACAATCCCCCAAAGTGTCATTGTTATTGAAGTTTATATGAATGGTTCCTCCCGGACATGAGCCATATCATGGTCTGGCTTTTAGACCTCTGCATTTCCCTTGGAACATAAAACAATTCAAACTCAGTTATATCCTAAAGATGTCTTAAATCCAAACAATTCAGACTATGCAATTTGACCAACATTTAGTTTATTCTCCTCTATTGTGGAATTAACTCAGTACTCTGAGAACAAGAAAAAAAATACATCTACAATCAGAAGATAGTTTCTTCCGTGGGTTAATTATCAAGGAAGTTTACATTATGCTTATATATGCACAAGATTTGGTTCCATTAGGTAGTGGTGGGGTGTTACAAAGATAAATGCAATATTAGCTCTTGTAGTAGTCCAGTCTCTCTTAGAGGAAGGAGGAGATTTTGAAGATAATTTTATCTCTACCTGAAAATAAATCTGAAAAGTAGATGCACCATAGTACATATATCATTTCTGGACAGAGGTGTGTTTGGCTCTGTTCAATTTGTAATCTAAGGCGAGTAAAAAGAGGGTGGAAGGATATTTTTTACAAGCAAGGGTATTGCTTCAGTCTTGCCAGGAGTTTAGTTGTATAACCAGCATCCAGATCATGAAATAACATTACCAGCTCTGCAGAAACAACTCTCTGTACCTGGGGGACTTTCTCAAATTTAGATAGTTGGAACAGGGAAAAGGCCATGGTTGAAACATTTGGCCTGACTGGTTTTGCTGACATCTAGTGGTTAAAGATGAATGTCTAGGGGGGAACTGAGGCAAAGGGGAGAGAAATGCATTCCTGGTAAGAGAGAGTCAGTGGCCTGGATTTAGACTAGCTTTGCAGAGGGAGAGCTGGGATGGAAAATGTTTGTGAGTGCATGTTAATGATACCCCGGAGGAATATAATACGGGGGAGGGCTCTTCTCTCCCTCTGAAGGGAGTCATACTGAGAGTCTTTTTCTGAGCCCTTGTCACATTGCCATTTTAGGTATGCTCTCACTCTTTAAAACTAATCTTTCTCCCTCTCCTTTCTATCAGTTTCATTGCTTTGTGTTTCTAGGCACTTGGCAGCCTGAGTTAACAAAGCTCTGCTTTCACAAGACAGCTCTAATGTGATAAATGTGCCACGGTTACTGGCCAAGAAAACAGGTGGGCTGAGTAACAAGGAAAAGGCACCCAGGAGATCAATCTGGACTGCTCATTGTGAGGTTGGGAGGTTCTGGATGTGTCCCTAAGTGAACACAAGGCCAAGAATTTGTTCTGAATTGGACAGGTGGCAAGGATGGTGACTAGTGCAAAGGAGATTGAAGAATCCATGGGCCAGGGCCCCGGGAAACAGGTTAGGAAGGCCAGCAGCGTATGGCTAAATTGATTTCTCCCCTGACTCTTTCCAAGGGTTATGGGATGCTAGGAAACAATTCTTGTAATTGTGATGACTGTCCAATGGGGAGTGGGAATTATAGCAGAACAAGAGAACAAGGGGAGATTCAAGGGAGTTGAGATAAGATAGAAGGGAAAGAATAAGGAGGGGTGACAAGAAGGAGAAACAAGAGGGGGGAAAACCACCTCATTACATATTTAAGGAATATACAGTTAAAGTAGGGATTAAGTATGCTTCAAAAAGGAGAAAAAGTTTATGTTGAGTTTTAAGCAAGCTCCAGAGTTTTGTCATCTAAAGATGAATGGAAAGCAACTAGTTTGATGAAGAATATAATGAATAAAAAAAGGAAAGACATGAGAAAGACAAAAGGAATCAAACAGAGGTGCCTTAGTCACTAAAGAGCCTAGTTCTGAGACCTGGCAAAGGCAATGGAGATGAGCAGTTCAATGAGCCCTTAACTCCCTTGAGCTCCTGAACCAGCTTAATGTGCTTCTCTGATATGTTCATGTACTGATGTGTCCACTTGGCAGGAGCCATAAACTTGAGGACAATAGCAGAAAAAGTACTGCAAGAGGAAGGTGGGTGAGTACAGTCATCATGCTCAGTGTCCACACATTTAAATGGAGCAAGGAAGCTATAGGAGATAGATGGCGAAGGGATAGTCAGAAGTGGGAGAATGGTGGAAGGGGCGACACTGATCAAGATAACTATATAGATGGACATGCTATTCCTTTGGACAATTATTTGGAGATAATAATAAAAATAAAAATAATAAGTACTGCAAGGAAGACCCTCAAAGTACGTGTCATCAGTAAACCAAATGGCCAAGACTAGAAAATACAGTCTTTGAGTACAGTTGCTCTTATT